GTTCTATTTTGGATTCTTTGTCAAAAGTTTCAACATTTCCAGCCTCTGTGTGGACCTCTGGTTCACTTTTGGTAATAGCAGCAACTTGATCAGGAATAATCTGAGCTTCTGGCTCAGGGGGAGATTCCTTGGTTAGTTCAGGAATATCTTTGCTAGTGACATCCAATGCAGGTGTCTCATCTTGTTTCTTAACTTCTTCGACAGTAGGAGGCTCAATTTCCTTGTCTGCTGTCTTTTCTTCTGATTCTGTTGAAGTAGCAGGTATGCTTGGCAATTCCTCAGCTTTTGGCTTCTCTTCATCGTGAGTTGTGGCTGGTGGAGAAGGTGGTTCATCAACTTCTTTTACCTCTTCAACTGTTGGGGGCAATGGTTCATCAGCTATTGGCTTCTCTTCCTCGATGCTTTTCTTTACCTCTTCAATTATAGTTGCTGGAGGTTCCTCAATTGTTGGCTTCTCTTCTTCATCAGCTTTCTTTAATTCAACTATTATTGGAGCTGGTTCATCAGCTTTAGGCTTCACTTCCTCATCAGCTTTCTGTACTTCTTCCACTATTGTTGGAGCTGGTTCATCAGCTTCAGGCTTCTCTTCCTCATCACTTTTGTTTACCTCTGCGATTATGGCTGGTGGTGGTTCCTCTATCGTTGGCTGCTCATCAACTATCTTTACTTCTTCGGCTATTGTTGGAATTGGTTCATCAGCTTTAGGCTTCTCTTCATCATCACTCTTCTTTACCTCTTCAATGATAGTTACTGGTGGTTCTTCTGTTGTCGGTTTCTCTTCCTCATCAGCTTTCTTTACTTCTTCAACTATATTAGGAACTAGTTCATCAGCAATAGGCTTTTGCTCCTCCACAGCTTTCTTTACCTCTTCAATTTCCAGGACCTGTGGCTCATCAACTTTTTGCTTCTCTTCTTCATCAGTGCTCTTTAGTTCTTCTTCTATGATTGCTGAAGGTGGTGCATCTACTGTTGACTTCTCTACCTCATCAACTATCGTTGGGGCTGCTTCGTCCGCAATTGGCTTCTCATCTTTCGTCACTTCTTCAGTTATCACTTGGGATGATTCCTCTGCATTTGGCTTCTCCCCGTCATTAACTTTCTCGGAGTCTGGTTCCACTGATTTTGGCTTTTGCTCCTCCTTATTCTTCTCTGGCTCTTCAATCACTGTTGATTCCCTTTGTGGGGAATCTTCTTCTTTTGGTTTTACTTCATTCTCCTTGGTAAGGGGAACATTCTCTCCTTCCATAGTCTTAACCTCTTCAGGCACTTCCTTCTCAGCTTGCTGCAGCAAACATGATGAAGCAATGAGAATAGAAGAAACTAGAAGGGGAAAAAAAGGGCACTGACAATAGGAATAAAATCCTTGGACATTAAGCTTTCAGTTTGTGTGTGTGGTAAGGTCACTATCAGTTTCATTGAAGAAACTTAATGTAACTGAGTTTTGGTAACATAAATCTGAACTAGTTAAAAAGAGGACAAATTTAGGGAAACACATGGTAATTTCCTCATCAGTCACAAGTCACAAAAAAGATTGATACTGACAAAAAGCACCCTTGGCTCTTTCTTTGGTGAACTCAGCATATAATACTATCTATACTAACTTTTGTCACATTCAAGCTACTTCCTAGGTCAAAAGGATACTGAAATTAAAAGCCCAGAACATCAACACAAAAGCAAGATTCCAGCATAGCTATCAAACATTTCATTTCAATTCTACAGTTATGATGATCATGAATAAAAACTACTACAGAGTAATTTCATCATCTTCCTTTGAAAAAACTCCCTAGTTTTCTGTTCTGAAGACAAGTAAAATTCACTTGTGAACACTAAAGTTCTCTCTTTTTACTTGCTTACAGATAGCAGCAACCAATAAGGCTCAAAGATCAAATCTGTTCTGTGCTAGAAAAAATTAGAGATCAAAATTTACAACATAAAATCTAGAATTTACTCTCTGCTAATAAAACTCAACACATAGCAATAGCTCATGATAAAGCAGAACAAAGGATATATATGTTGCAAAACTCTTATGCAAAAAAAGTACCTAAAAGTAACAAAACACATATATATATCTGCTAAAAAATAATAAGCAAGAAGAGAATTCAGAAGAATCTTACCTCAGAGACAGTAGTTGGATGATCTGATGAAACAGTATCAGTAGCCATGTATAGAGATTGATGATGAAGAATTGAAAGAAATGATCCTTCTTAAACTGATTGAGTAGATTTTTAAAGAGAAAGGAAAAAGAATGATATGGTTGGCGATAGCCCAAAAAAAAAAAAGGCTTTCAAAGCAAATACACAAAGTAAGTAAGTAGAGAAAACCACACTCTCTCACAGTCTTGTAACCCCACAGGCCACAGCCAGCCCTTTTGAAAAGTAAGAAACAGGGTGGACTGATGTTCACATGATGAATGATCTGTCACTCACTTGGTGGAATTTCTTTTTAAGTTTTAACTAATCCTATAAATTTTTAATTCACTAATTAATACTAATTATGATGGAAAGACCAACTTTACAATTTGAATATAAACAAAAAATAAAGTATTTAAATAACTAGGCGAAAAAGGAATATAAATTATGTTGTGAAAATATGAAGAGGATTGTGTTGTCAAGAATTGGATTGGCATGGTATGGGACCATTAGTTTTAACAGCCTAATATTACTAATAATTTGGGAAACAGTTGTCTATTTTGTCCACTTACTGAGAGTTGCAATTTGAAATTTCAAAGATACTTTTCTGGCTTTGGCCCCATTTATTTTTCAGTGAGGCTAACTTCTCTTCACTAAAAGAAAATTATTTTTGGGCATAGGTCCATGGATGGTGTCTAGTTGGTTTTATATGTATGTTTGTAATGGAAAAAAAATAATGTAATTGTGTACTATTAAGAGGAGGTCCATGTCATGTTTGAGGTTTTAAAAAGTTTCTTATGATTACATAAATCTCTCATTATAAATAAATGCTCTTTAAGGACATTCCTAGACAATAGAGAAACTAATAATATTACATCTTCTAATCTTGTATTTTTTACAAGAATCTTTCCTATTCATATAAGTAGATGTAGATCCAGAATTTAGGGCAATGAAGCACCTTTAGTGCAAAAGTTTGATGCATGACTCTTGAAAGATATAACGATATTAAAGTACAAACTTCAATGTTATCGAATATTATTAATTTAATATCAATATAATAAAAGTATATCATCCGCTAGTGTTTGAACTCCATATGTTTTCATCGTTGCTTACATTTGCAAATACTTCCTTTCTCAATGCATGAGTAAAATCTGTATCAGTCATAAAAAGAAGCTTTATGGTTAGAGTTTTGATTGGAGGTTCAACTTTGACTGTTCTCTATCCTCAGTTTGTAGTTATTATGAATCTTGAAAACATTAATTAATTGTTGGATTATGTACTTTTATTAGTTTAAAAGTAACTAAAAAAGAAGTTAGAAATGACTTGCAGTAGGGTAGTCAATCTAATAGTTCAAGCAGAACGGTAGACAGATAAAATAGGTGAGGATAGTATAATTATAGCAAATGGTTGGTATGGTACCTGCTAGAGGTGTTTCGACAAAAATATTGAGCCCGTTACGTTGATAGATATTGACAGGGTTTTGACAAATATATCCCTTCTTGATATTTTAAGTTTAAAATTGATTTGATAAATCCAAGCTAAATTGAATTATAGATTAATTTAAATATTCAAAAATTATATAACAATTTTATTTTCTTATATTAATATGATGCAAAAATGTCAAGTCGAACTCCACATAATCTGAATATTTAAAAGCTAAAAAAGTCACATATATTGCGATCAAGTTGGGCACATCCAATTATCCTTATCAGTGAGCTGGAATTTGGTGGACTTATTTTATATATCTTTTTATAAGTAGGCCGATGTATTTGGTATGTCAAAAAATAATTTAGGGATATAATATTTGATGACAAAAGGTATTTACAATTATCATCACTATTATTTCAATTCTTACTTCATACCACTGCTCTCAGCAACACTTTAGCCACTATCATCAACGCAAAAATAAACAAAAATAAAAATTAACAAAAATGCTATCTTAGTTGTTATTTTCCGTCTCGCTTTATAGTCACAAGTACTATGAAAAGAAGTATTAATTTTTCACTGTGAATTCTGATATACAATTTTTAAGTTTTTTGAAACAATTTTAAAACTACTTAAAATATAAAAGTTATAATAATCAACTATTCAAAACATTTGATATTTATAGGCATATGAAAAAATTGCCATACTGATTTCACTCTCCAAATAGTAATTGTGGCATTTTTGGAACAGAGGTAGAATAACGTTCAGCTAAGGTGATTGTGGTGTGTGGGGGATGTCCTTCAATTCATCACTATATTTTTGTTTAGACAAGAACACTGATTTATATAAGTTGATCATGCATCGCAATGAGGTTCTAGGTACCACACGACCATACCATTTGAACAGTATTACATTGGAGAGACATGATCGAGCTTTGTCAATAGCTTTGGCTGATTGGTTTTTCTGAGTTTAGTTCAATAACTAGAATAAGTATATTTTTACAGGCTTGTACGTAGATCCTCCCCCCTTTTTCCTTCCATGTGATTATTATATTTACCAAGGAAACAGCAGAAAGTCATGTACCCAATAAGACCAGAAGCACTATAAGTTTATCGTCATGTTAACAAGTTTAACTAAAGACTAGCTACTAAATAGAATCCCGAACCTCAAACTGATGCTTAACCTCTCAATGTTCCTGACACCGACATTCCCTCAGGCAAAAGTTGCAATTAGGAGGAGGAACATAATAAAGACAAGAGCATTCAAGAGGCATAATCATAATAGGAAATAGAAACACCCCAGTTGCTCTGGCTCTAGACTAACCAGAGTTGCAATTCTCTTATCTTAAACTTAATGAACAAGAAAAAAATATTTGATTAAGGTTTGGGGTAGGGGCCGCGCGAACGCAGGCCCCCACAGCAACAAATTATGACGTAGGCTCGACCGCTTGGGCCGACCTTAGGCAGGCACCCCTCCAAAGTGCAATGGAGGTCACAAGCCTAGGCCATAGGTCTTATTGATCGTCCATTGACCCCGTCCAGGTAAGTATGTTCCCCAGTTAGCTCAGCCCATTACTAATACTACCTGTTTTTGCTACACTTTACTCTTAGATGCAGATGTGGGAGAATTACTCAAAATGGCATAACTCTCCTAACCTTTTCTGTTTGGAAATAGAGAAGGAAAATTAACAAAGCCTATATTCAATTCTCTTTGAATATAACATGAAATATGAAAGGATGAACTTCTTTTGATTATAAAATTGTGCTTCAACAACTAAATCAATTACACATGGAAAGAGAGCCTCACATATAATCCTTGAATTTTGTTGATTTAAACATTGAGAATTCAAATGGAATTGTTGCCACCTCTCTGCTTAACTTACTGAATGGTTTTGGCAAAAACACAGCAACTAAGTTCTCTGAGTAATTTTGATCAAGTAAGTTCTCCGAGTAATTATGACATAAAAGTGGCAGCAAAACGGCACCCCATTGATTATAATTGTAAGGTTCATTTAAAGAGGCATTAACATAGTTCCATGTGAGTTGCAACACAAAGAGTTCTATACATACGAACCACATGATATTCATCGTTCTCATGCACATTAACATGGACAGAGGATGTATAAACAAGGCTGAACATAAAAGCTGTAGAATAGGCCATTGAAGGTTGAAAGGAAGAATCATTTTTCCGCTCTACAGAGATACAAGCAAAATAAGTGTCTTGCTCTTCTTTCCCAACAAGGATTGAAGCATACAACAGAAGAGCTGACAAAGGCCGAATTTCGTGAGATATTGGGGATGCTATAATGACTTCGAACATTGTAATACACAAGCTCATATTCAGAATCCAACAAAGAACAAGATATATACAAGAAGCATCAAAATCAAGTTAAAAAACAACAGCTATCTGGAGAAACAATTGAAATAATATATTCTTGTGCCTTTGATCAAAATCACAGTTAACTCTCATTGCACATTCTTACAGTTTACGCAAACATACATCCTGACACTCGATAAGCAGGTTACCATGTTTATAGTGATGGTTATAACCCTAGTTTACCCCTACCCCAAAACATTATCTTACCCTTCCATTTCTTCTTCCACCACCACTCAATAAGCAAGATACCACACTTATAGTGAAAGTTATTCACACATCGCCTTAAATTGAATGACAAGAATATACATATGCACGGTTACAGGATTTTTCTTTGTCTCTGGAAAACACTATATAAATGTGAAAGATTCTACTATGAATGGTAACAGTAGCTAGACAAGTACCTTGCTTTCAAGGAGAGCTTAATCCTGTCTCTCTTTCTTCTTTTCTTTTAGCTGTTCAACCATTTTCTTCATCTCATCATTTAGCTGAAAGAACATCAATAAAAAAAATATGCAAACTAATAAAGAATGAAGAACAACATTCAAAGCTAACTCTTCCAATTTCACACAAACAAATATATAGAGAATTCTTTCCGGCATTTCCTTTACAATTCAGACAACCCATTTAACACCAAATTTCTCCTCTTTCCCATCATTGGGAATTTCTCAAATCTTCAATAGGAGGTAGAAATTTATAACATCAACGGTTAACTTTACTTCAAAATAGTAGAAAAATTTCTATTCGTCCCACATCGGCGACACACTGAGGGTGAGAATACTACTTAATCAAGTGAGGTGAGAAGTACGGGCACGACCTTACTTGAACAGGATCTGTTCTATAGGCTCGTACCACTGTATCCTTGATTTCTAAGGAGACAGGAAACCAAGTCTGGTGGATGAATCATGGCCATTAGACTAGAGCGTGATTAACAGCACCCATGGCCGTTGTGGTCATGGCGCAGTAGATGATCGTTCTCAGCTCCAATAATGGTGCCTGAGATGGTCTAATGGCTGTCTGACAGACTCTTCAAAACCTTTTTTTTGCTGTTTTGGCGTTACCCAGCTCTGGATTTTGAAGCTAAGCAAGGCTCCCATGGCTTCCGAGCTCAGAGCTGCGATAATCCGCTAGAAATCTTTTCTTACAGCTGAACCTATGGAATTTCAAATCTTTCCTTCTCCTTTTAGTTTTCCTGAATTCAAAGAATCAACTTTGCTTTACCATATTTGTTCTTGCCTTTTTTTTTTTTTTTTTTCAAATGTTCTAAGGAGTCATCATTAGACCCACGTGGAAGGTTCATGTGTATCATAATTAATTTTGGGAAAAGTGTATAAGTCAATTTTATTATTTGAAATTGATATACATTTCTCTTATAAAATTGATTTATATATATTTTTATACTTATAAAGGGATTCATATATATCTTTTTTATATAAATGAAAAAAAAATTATTTTATTTTTTTCTAAATTCATATAGGGTAAATATGAATGGTCTAGCAAACTTTTGGGGTATATTTGATTTTTTGACAAAAATTATTTGACTTCTTTGATTATTATTATTTGAATTTTTTTATTTTTTCTTTTATCTTTAGTCTAAAAGTAAAAAAAATAAAAAATGAAAGAAGTGTGAATGGAAAAGGAGAAATAAATATTTGACTTTTTTGTGACTACATGGTAATTTAATTTTTATATTTGTAAAAATCTTTAGGGCATATATAATAAATTTTACAAGAAAATTAGTGAAAATAATAAATTTAAATTAATAAATTCCCCATTTAGTGTGCCAACCACTTTTACCGCTAAATTAAAAAAACCATTAAAGGGAAATCGCTTAATATCAAGAATGATTGTCTCACTACAAGTGTATTGATCTTCCAGATCCCACAATTGCAACTTTACTATTTCTTCAGCGTGAAAAGTAATCACGCAGAATGACAGGACGTTTTCCTTTTCTATGAGATCCATCCGAGCACGTTGGCAACAATATCTCTCTCCCGGATGTGATACCACATCAAATTCTTCCTTTTTTATGTCAAATACTATCACATACACTCCGCAACACGTTACAGGACTATCATTAGCGGGATGCAGTTCCTCAGCCATCCAATAAATAGCATCTGTTTTCACAATAGGAGCAGGGCAAATTGCCATAGGAAATACTATAAAATTAAGCTTTTTCCAAAATCCAGCTCATACTAAACCTAAGTAAAATGAACTCTTGTTTCGTTGTTCCCAAATATCTTCCCCCAATGCCGTAATATTCCTTGTAGACTGGATGGAAATAGAGTGCAATAATAGTAGTATGTGGGATGTGAAAGCTATGTTGTACTCCAGTGATAGGGTTGAAGATTACATGCCTCATTTTCGAGTCGTAATATATAACTAGGAGCAAACCATGATACGAAAAGATATCACTAAAACAACAATTCATTAATTTACAAGTGCAACTACGTCTGAATTTTTTCTTCCTTCTAAAAATCCCCCGACTCTTTTTATACCAATCATCGATAAACACTATTTTCATGTCCCACTCTGTTTTATCGAATTGGTCGACAATAATGGTAGGGACTGCACTGCAGCACCGGCAGGCTGGCAACGGGACCGGAACCGGAACGGAACCGGGCACCACGGAACCGAACCGAACCGGAACCGGGACGGACCGGAACCGGTAATTCCGGGAAAAAAATCGTGTACCCGTCCCGGACCGGTAACGGACCGGTACCGGACCGGACCGGACCGGCAACCGGGACTACTGTTACTTATAATTAAAAAAAAAAATTATTAAAATTAAAAAATTAGGAACATTACACAAATAATATTAAAACTCTTATAATTTTATTAGAAGCAAAATTTTTTATACTTTTAAAGTTTTAAATACAAACTTTCAAACTTTAAAAGTATAAAAGTTTAAATTTCACAATTTAAAACTTTGAAATTTTAAATTCAAACTTTAAAACTATAAATCAATAAAAGTTTAAATTTCACACTTTAAAAGTTTGAAAATTTAAATTTAAGTTTCAAACTTTAAAACTATAAAAGTATAAAATTTTAAAGTTCACACTTTAAATTTTAAAAGTTTGAAAATTTAAATTCAAACTTTAAAACTATAAAA